AGTGATGGAATCTGTCTAACTCGTCAGGCGAAACCAAAACCGACGCACCAAACAGCGCATCTACCATTCACTTCGAAAACTTCCTCAATGACGACACTGTTTTCTTCACCGCTATCAATCGTCAATCTACGTACTTAGCTTCGTGGCAACACTTTCCTGCCGGATGGCCGCTCACTGACGCTCTCTTATCCTTCTTTTCCGATGCGAGCGAGAATGTTATCATTCAGAGAGTTATTGAACTGAATCGTAGATGCGCTGTTTGGTGCATCGGTTTCAGTTTAGCCTGCTTAATTAGCCAGAAATAATAGCACTGCGGTGATTACCTTTGCCCACGTTTTAGAAATTTCAAGGTTACTACGGAAGCACTTGAACTCACCCATAAGCTACTAGCGGTTATTTCCGCTGGTTAAGATTGTAATTGTTTTAATGTCTATATTAACTGTCGTAATCAACGCTGGTACGCATCTGAAGATACCCGCTGCACCACCCTTCTTTGATTTTTCAGTGATATTGGACACATTTCTTGGAACACCCTGTACACCTAGCTAAGTTTGTTGAATCGGGAGAATGGTGGTTAATTTATTTATTTACCCTCAGGTTCAAGAGACATTACAGAGGGGAGTGGTAAAAACAAAAAAAAAACATGTTTATAAGTACAAGAGGCAATGCAACGTTTTTGGTTATACAACAGCAGATTAAAACAAAACAAATGAAAGATATAAATGAGAATTATCAAAATCGCATATAACAAATTAGAAGGATACATTCTTATAAAAAAGATAAAAATAACGTTTCGAAGTATACAGTGAGCATTGTTACACTTCAGTGCAACAGGTACAACAAATACAACAGGTAAGAGTGAAATCTTATTTTTAGAAATGTATAAGGTGAAATACTACGACTAGGTATTCAAAGAATTGGTTAATACAGTCACAAATGCGTCGCGATCTGAAATTGTTACAAACGATTAGGGAAGGCAATTCCAATTGCGTGAAGTGCGTGGTACGTATGATTGTCGAAATGACTGTTTGAGACGATGGGATGACAACTTTATCAGCGTGATATAAACGACGAGAAACGTAATGCGGCGGAAGAATTAGTAAATCACGGAAGTATGAGTGGTGATATATTTTATGGAAAAGGATTAAGCGGATCGTAGTACGACGAGAAGCAAGTGAAGGTAATTTAAGGGTAGATTTCTTTAGTGTGATGCTCGTGTTTCGATCGTAATTAGTTGTTATGAAGCGAACAGAGTTATTTTGTACCATTTCTACTGAATGCACCAAATTATGGTGGTATGGATCCTAAACAGATGCGGCGTATTCAAGTTTAGTACGAACTAGTGTTTTATACAACATCAGCTTGACAGAAGAAGGTGATTTGATGAAGTTTAAGACGAAAATATCCGAGCATGCGATTAGCGTTACAAACAACATTATAGGAGTATTCCATGTTAGGTTGTTACTGATATGAACTCTGAGGTATTTGTATGAGGTGACAATGTCTAATTGTGTGTTATGTAAGTTATAAGTAGGTGAAGTGGTGATCTTTCTAGACACAAGCATGAATTTACATTTTTACTGTTTAAAACTATGAGCCATGTGTTACACCAGTCAAGAACAGCAGTGAGGTCTGATTGAAGAAGGCGACGTCGTTAGGTCCAGTTATTTCACGAAAAATTATGCAATAATCGGCAAAAAGATGAACAGATGAGGTGACGCAAGATGGCAGATCGTTAATATAGATTAGAAAAAGAAGCGGACCAAGAACGGAGCCCTGTGGTACACCAGAATGTACCGCACATTCCGCGGAATTAATTCCATTAGCCGAAACGAATTGTGAGCGGTTAGTAAGAAAAATTTCAATCCAAGTTACAAGGCAGGAGTTAAGGTCAAGTATAGTCGTAATTTCAAAACGAGCAGTTTGTGGCACACCTTGTCAAAAGCTTTGGAAAAATCGAGGAAAATGTAGTTGGCGAGCAAGCTGTGGTCAAGAATGGTGTTTAGTTTATGCACGAAATGTGTTAATTGAGTTTCGCAAGAGTATGATTTGCGAAATACATGTTGCGATTGAGTGAAAAATGAGCGTGACTCGAAAAAAATTGCTAGGTGAGAAGCCAAAATGTGTTCTAATATTTTAAATGGTATACTAGTGAGAGAAACGGGTCTGTAGTTTAAGGGAGAATGCTTTTTACCCGATTTGTGGATTGGAACTCCCTTCCCGACTTTCCGCTCAGATGGGAGAACACCATCGTTGAGCGACTGTTGAAAAATTTGGTTAGTATTATGAATGAACAACAGACAGTATTTTGGAGGAATTTGACGTTTATTTGATCGCTACCCGGTGCTGAGGTTGGTTTCAGTGACTTAATAATGCTTGCGACACCATCGTAGCTGAGAATGACAGGAAACATGATTGTGGTGATATGGTTGCACATGGGAAGCGTTGGTGGTGGCGGGTAAAAAAAGTTTTTTGAAAAAAACATCATTAAGCATGTTCGAGCATTGGTCGGTCGGTATAGCGTTACCGCTGAGATCATTAAATACTATAAGATCACTTTCTTGAGAATTGACCACTCGCCAAAATTCTTTAGGGTTAGTCTTCAGCATCGTGGGTAAAGTGTTGCTTAGAAAACGTTCCTTGGCAACTTTTAAGGCCTGCGCGTATTCATCAGCACATTTCTTGTAATCTGACCAACGAGCCCTACTATTGATAACTTTAGCCGATTTTAACAGACGCTTCTTTTTATTAGACAAGCGTTTAAGCTGGTGATTATACCATGTTATTTTTTTTAGGTTGAAGGAGATAGCGTAAGCAGGGATGTACTCATCCGTTAGTTCCACAACCCTAGCAAGAAAGATACTCCAGTTTGACTGAACGTCGCGATAGTCGAAATCATTCAAGAAATCATCAAGAAATACAGCAAGTTCATTGTTGATGGTAAGAAAGTCGGCCTTGTTGTAATCTCGTAGAGTCTTATTCGTTTTAACGGCTTTAGGTTGCGCAAGGCAAACGTTAAACGAGAGAAGGCTATGATCACTTGTTCCAGGCAGGTAATTTACATCAGAAACAATATCGGGTTGCGTAGTCAATACAAGATCGAGTGTATTTGAAACAAATGGTGTTATACTTGTTTCTTTAATCAACTGTGCTAGAGAAAATGTACTGCACAGCTTTAAGAAGTCTTGCGCATTAGATGAGTTTGGGTACACTGTGAAGGGTTCATTTTTCCATAAGATATAGCCATATTGAAATCACCAAGTAGGAAAATTGGTCCGTGTGGTGTAATAGGAAAAAACACTATTAATTGCAATCATGTCAAATCACACACAAACGTTGTAGTGAAACTTGGGGGGGGGGCGATAACAAACACTCAAAATTATTTTTTGGTGGGCTAGTGTTACGACTGCTCATACAATCTCCGAATTTGAAGCAGTTTGAATGCAGTCTGAAGGCAACCTTTTTTTTATCGCCAAAAATATGCCACCACCAGAACGATTATTACGGTCACAATGGTAAATAGAGAAATCGCGTGAGTTGGCAAATAATTCATGGTTCCCCGATTGCTGGTAGAAGCCACGTTTCTGTCAATGCGATTATATCCGGTTCACATGTATCAATGGCCGAATCCAATAAAGGTCGTTTGTTGATAATGCTTCTGATGTTAGTAAAAAGAAAAGATGTATTGAGCGGTTCACGGTTGTTGACCCTGTCGCGTTCCTATTTCGCAGAGCGATCGGACTGCCGGGTACCAGATGCGGACGGCGAAACATGTGTTGTGCTGCCGGCCGTAGCTATGGGTGCTCGTAATGCCTCGACTTCTTTTACACATTGGCTTATCGAGTCGTAGATGTACTGCTTCTCATATGATTAACTTTTTGTAAGGCACTTGATATGTGTTTACGCTAGGTTGATTTCTAGCAAACTCGAATAGTTTTCGTCTCACATCACGAGTGGCTGCACAAAAATCTTCTGTCACACTTATACCTTGCTCTTTAAGTGCTACTCGCGCAGAAGGCACTTTTTCTTTAGATTTGAAGTCCGAAAATTTAACAATTATTGGCTGACATTTGGTTGGTGTGTATGAACCAAACCAATAAGCGAGCTCGATTGCGTTGTCTGGTAGCGCATCGAGCGTGCTTGTTAGTATGGACCTTATATATCTTGGATTCAGATTGTTGCCACGATTATTAAAGAGTCTAGAATACCTTGAAATATTACGTGATTACGCCGAGAACGGTCCTCCTGTTCGTTTAGGTGAGCTTTCAAGGACTCAAGATGTTTATCAAACGATCTCATCGACACCTCCACGCCATCAACAGCCTGTTATAAGTGCTTGATAGAATTAGCTTTAGCTTCTAACTCATCCAGCCTCTTCTGCATTGTTGCAACTTGAGTTTCAATTTTCTTTTGGCTTGTCCTTATTTCTTTGACGTCGGTTGCTAACGTGCTTTGCACTTTGGCTGACTGAGTTAACGGGGTGTGAAGGTCCTTAATGAGGTTATATATGACTGCCATCTTTTCGGAGGGATCATCAGGTAATGAGTTCATATCCAGCAAGGCCTTCGTACGCTTGTCAGGGCCCGGATTAGCTTCAATATCACCAGACAGAAGTAGCAGGTAAACCATCGAAAAACAATCGCATGCAATAACGGCAAGCACTTCCGGGCACGGAAGCAGAATCAAACATCGATTATCAATTTCTTAGGATACAGGGAGCATGGTTTACACACCTGTAAAAGGCAGAAACGTGAAATTTGCAGCGTGCCGTCTCGGTGCGTGCCTCCGTGCCCAGTGAAGAAGCTGTTGCAGCACCACCCGCTTAAGTCCTGCGCTAGTAGTGACGTCATCGTAGAAAAAAGGCCATGCGCAGATGGTAGGGGCGACGATGCTTGCATCAGAGTTTTGGTTCTTTCCGTGCTGGGAGTAAGGTGGCTGGTAACCACGACTGTGGAGCGGAAGCCACCACGCACTCGTGGAACACGACGGAACTTGCAACGATGGCTGCAGCACCAGGAGCGAAGCCAGGTAAGCCTCTAAAAGGCAGAAACGTGGAATTCGCAGCGTGCCGTCTCGGTGCGTGCCTCCATGCCCACCCTGATAGGTACTACGTTCGTACCTATCACGATGCCTCAAAGGTTCAAATTCATTCAGTTGTTTTAAATGTGCATCAGAGAATCAGCCAATGTGATTTGTATGTGGACGATGTGGACACACTCGGGGCACGATATCTTCGCGGAAGTTGCTTAATTGACTGCTACATATCTGTGCCATGCCTAACACCTACACCCACGTGCGTCTACCCTAATTCACCGTTTGGTGTATTGCGTGAGTGGTGCGTGAGCGCGTACCTCTGCTTTCAATCTGATCTGCAACCTGTACACTTGTAGCGCGAGAACGAAACGACGACACAGAGACAAGAAGGACACGAAGGACATTGTCGTCGTTTCGTTCTCGCGCTATAACTATCGTCATGCCATACCAACTAGCCCAAGCTGCCACACTTCTAATGTACACTTGCCTTCTTTTTTTTTTGCCTCGACATGAAAATTTGATTGATTGATTTGTAGGGTTTAACATCCCAAAACCACGATATGATTATGAGAGACGCCGTAGTGGAGGCTCCGGAAATTTCGACCACCTGGGGATATTAACGTGCACCCAAATCTGAGCACACGGGCCTACAACACTTCCGCCTCCATCGTATATGCAGTCCGCCGAAGCAGGGATTTGATCGACATGGAAATTGTTGCAATAACTCAATGCGAGTTGTCATATGCCAACGCCAATGTCGCTTCGTTTGCTATCATTCGTGAAGCCAAATGATACGCATTTTTAGAACAGCCAAATGCAACCACGGTCCGATTTCGTGGATAAGATCTTGGGTTAGTACTTATCCCAAAACAAGTTCGTGCTCCAATATGGAATTGGAGATCATTGTAATGCGAATGTGATCAGCTGAAGACAAACGGCAATGCAGTACCCCAATATTCAACCCCTCCTGACGAGATATTTATGTATCCCCCCCCCCCCCAACAGGGCATTCACAGTTATCAACGTTGATAAGTTGCTTCGATACGTTAAATATATCCGCCTCGTTTGTGCTTACAATGCATATGCCCGAACAAAGTACACGTGCGAACCATTACTAAACAGCAGGCGCTTCAAGCGGTTTTGAAACCCTAAGAGACAGAAACGATTTACCGCAGTACGCGTATAATTTTGAAGAGCTGACAAGTGAAATGCAATCCGCATACAGAAAAGTGTTCGCTTGATTTGAGGTAACCAATGATGAATCGTAGCCGCAGAGCAGAGCGTTTGGTTTAGTTCACCTGCGGAACAAGTACGTGCCATGTTCCCGATACACTTTATTCATTCTAAATTGCAGTGAGTTCAAGTTTGAGCATTCGGGTCCACGAACCGCATTCCCAATCAATAATGTGCATCGGGTTTCACCCATGCGTACCGGTTAATTTTAGCCGATTACTAATGAGGATACGCAAGAACGAATCTTTAGCAAGCATCGATTCATGCGATTGCTAAACTGCATACGTGGTGTTCGCAACAGCGGTGGAGATACGAGTAGTGCCACTGTGCTGCGTCGACGTGAAATGCATACACATTTGAAATTTAGTGGCGCTGGACGGCATGGAATGAACGTTAGGCTTAATCGAACTTGATTGCTCATATAAATGCTCTGAAACTGATACAAACTCACCTCGTCCCGTATTCAATACAGCGTCTATAATGATAATGAATTCATAGCTTATGAAAGCTTAAAGAACGCTAAACTAATGAAACACCATGAAAGAAGAATACAAAAGAAGCCTTCATTGTAGCCTACAGTCGCCAAAACGAGCGCAGAGTCATGCCACAGTGGTGGCGTCCATAAACGACCACCACCGCTTTTAAGGCACGCGAAAACGAGTGAAGTCAACAAGCGTTGAGAATTATATCTTTGCTCTGCAGGCTCGAACGACGTTTCAATGCAAATTTGAGAAGTGCGGCGAGTTCTGCTGAAAGCTATGCCAATGGGGCGGTTGTCTTGTGCCGCTACATCTTCGTCTTGCTGCTTCGAGCACTTTTACGCTTGGTTTATTGATGATATACTGCACGTTCTGATACGCTGAGCTCGCAGTTAGATGAAATATGTAAAGTCAAGCTGCTATAATATAAAGTTATTGCTTGAAAAACACCTAATATCGACGGGTATCATTGATGCACAAAAAACGTATCCACGCGCGTCCTGCAGTATATTTGCTGCCTGGCAACACTGCAGCATGCTGACGAGCCATGAAGTGTATGATGAAAACAAAGCGTATTGAATATTTACTCAAACAGGTTACTTTTTGTTAGAGAAAGAATTTATAGCATCTGCGCATTTATTTTCTTTTTTTTTCATTTTATACATGACCTACGCAAGTGCGCGAAATATGGAATCCCTATAGTTCGTACAACATGAAACGTTGTACGGCAACACTAGTGAATTCATTGATCATGTCAGAGAGTAAAGTATACAAGTGGGGTGAGGCGTTTGGTTAGAGAAGTGTGATTAGACGCTTTTTTACGTTTGCGGATTCATGTGTTCATACGAGAAAACAATAGCTATGCCTAAAAGGTAAAATACTACTTTTGAAAACACCTAGATATATGTGGAAGACAATTATCAGGGATTGGCAAGACAATGACGTGAGCAAATTATTGGTACCCACATTCCGCGCAATATGCAGGCGCTGAGAAAGTCGTGAAGAAGACAGGGCAGGGTGGTGGTGATCCTCCGCAGGGTAGCAGATATCCCTGGATGAAGCTGCTTTGTCGACGCAGCCTAGTACGAGAACAGCAACAAATACGTAGTGGTCTCCGTCGACCAAGCTGGTTCGGTCATAACCACCGCATCGATCGAATGTTGCTCATCGAGCGCTGCCGAAGAGTTGGCCATTGCCATTGCTTTCCACGACGGTAAGCGTGTGAACATATTCAGTGAGTCCCGGGCAGCCACTCGTACCTCCGCCATCGCTGCAATTTCAAGGAATCACGCCATATTCTCGATGAAAAAGACATCTGTAAACACATCTTAACGTGGTTCCCTGCTAACATGGGCTATGTTGAAGGAGGCCCCATTAACCTCAACCAGCTTGTTCACTCCAAGGTGCAAGATATGACGTTCCGCGCCCACTGTGGTTCTTCCCAGCTCACGACGTAAGACAATAGAGATCAGCCCGCGACCAACAATGAATTAAAGCAGCACTTCACTTACACATAAGCAGGAGGGTCTGCCCCCTACTCACAGAAAACTAGACAGAGCCCAGGCGATAACGCTTGGACCCTTAGAAACAGATGCATACCCAAATCTAGCCTGTTATTCATAAGATTTATCCCGGTACTTATACTACAAGCTTGTGCCCCCGTTGTGGGGAAGTAACTGACTTGAAGCATACGCTCTGGTGATGCCCTTCGTTACTAGTCAGCGATGAAGCCACCCCTTCCAAGTGGTGCTAAGCCATTAGAAGCCCCGTCAAGCAGGATCAAATTTGGGCCGTCCAAAAAGCCCACGGGCAGTCTTAGCCTGCCCGTCCCAAAATGGGAGAAACCCAATGCGGACTAGTCACGTTTCTCAGGACCAAAAAAGTTCTTCCATCCATACGCAGAGCTCTGAAAAACTGAGTACACTCGCCAAGAGAAAAAAAAAAGAAAGAGAATGCGAAGCTGGTGTTTGGAAGTAGGAATGATGCGACATAATTCCTAAATACAAACACGCACAAAAAAACAAGCGGTTTTGAGGCAAGATCTCTACATATTTTCGGGAAGATGGAAGGTTCCTGAGCTAAGTGTTTAGGATGTGGAAGACATCTCAATAACGATATTTGCCTCCATCCTTACAATTTCCGGACAGAACAGTAATCTACATACCTACGATTGTTAGAGAAAAGTTATTTCATTCAAGCGAAACCCCCACCCTCTTTCTCTTCCCCGCCACAACATTTGGGATAAAATTTATTCCTATACAATCAGAGCCAACGCGAGTATTTTGATTAAAACACATACCACAACCCAAACTCACTACATAGCAGGCCAGGGACTGATGCTGCCTACAAAAGAACACATCATAGTACTATTACACCTACGCGACGCAATACCACGGGCACGTTTTCGTGGCCTTGGGAGTAGCCACCAGTCAACTACATAACGTAGAGATAGAGACTAAGACCACCTGAGGCCAACTCCCCCTTATTAGTGACGAACCCATTTGAGAAGCAGAGGGAGGTCTGGTCTCGTCGAAAGAACCTGGACACTCTGATGGTCTAAGACAAGCAAACTGCACAGCCAAGGGGGCTCTAAACTAGGCGACTCATTCACCCTTGTCCTAATACCTTACTTTAATGCCTGAATTATGAAACTGGTGAACAAAGTAAAAATGTTTTTTCGTGTTCAGCTTTAAATAGCAATAGTTATACGATTCCGCCGTTACATTATCTAAACTGCAACTTTAATGCATAGCTTTACGCATGTCAGAATTCTTCATATGCCACTGAAGTGGGTACATTGCAACAAAAAACGTACTTCAGGACTGTGTAATATTTCGTGTGTCCCGTCTTCGGTGCATACACACGAAAATTATTGAAGATAAAACTTACGTTACTGATGTGACAACGAATGAAGAAGTGAGAGCCGTTGCACGCGCTTCAATCTTTTCACTATCAGCTCCAAAACAATTGATTCTAGCATCAAATACCTTAAATATAACTATGCTAGATTTTTTATCCTGGAAGCTTCATTCCCCTTCAGTACTTGACAGAAGCCTTTAAAGGCGGCACAAGTCTCGGAACTTGCTTTCTCGAAGTTTTTCGTTGTGTTGCGAATTCACGACAATACGCTCTCTATAAAGGCTTAAAATGAAGTTTCTACTTTTACTTTTGCTTACGGGACCTACAGAGCCAAGCACTTTCCTTGCAGTAGTGACTCCTTCAACAGAAGACAATGTGAATGCATTATTTCTGGTTTTTCCAGCTGAAGCCTACAACTTGCCG